AAAAAAAAATAAGTAAAAATAAGTATTCAAGATCAATTTACTTGAGAATTGAAAAAAATATAGTTCCCCGAAAAATTTAAATTTACATTTCTCAAAATCTGTTTTGATGAAGAAATAAAAAAACATAAATGATAACTATAAAGTTTTAAAAACATGGCATTTCTATAGAAAGCTAAAACAGTGGAGAATTGGGCTTAACCCCTAACATGAGTCACATGAGAAGGCCTTCAATATTTCCTATGATTTGTGCAGCATATACAGTATCTCCCATCAGATCAGTCAGAACCCTGCACTGATAAGCATCAATCTGTTTGCTTTCTGGAGTGTGCTGCACACGTCTGAGGCTCTGGGCTCAGATCTGGGGATGTACCAGAAGGTGAGATTTTATCGATGACTCAATGTAATGTCTCGGCACGAACTAATTTTCTCTTGCACAAAAAGCAGTAAGAGTATAATGCAGATAAATAATAGAGTACACCTTTGGTTGAGTGAAGACCGTCTGGGGCCATTTTACTTTGACCTATAAGGTACACCTTATACAAAGGGGAATATACAAGTATATTATCTACTAAACCCTTAAAGGGAATCTTTTAAAGGAATCTGTTGAACTCTGATAGACTTCTCTAGCAACACAGAATGGATCAGGTTAGTGGTTCTTTTCTGTGAAAAACTTGTGCCATGATGCTATGCATGCCAGTTTTATTGTTTTTTTTTTTATTATTATTTTGTTTTATAGTCCATCTGGGAAAAATCACACATCACTTATGTAATGCATAGTCTCTTCATTATGCATCTCTGAACAAGAGGTAGCACGTTTCCTTCCTGAATGATTCAGTATCGTTTGATTCGATTGAATGGACAAATCAATGACTCTCTCGTAAAGACAGCCATTTGTTTTGTCCCTGAGTAAATCCATGCTCATAAATGCTTCAGTTCCTGCTTTCTTCCTAAATAAATCAGTGTTTTGAATGAATCGACTGAATGAATGATTAAATGACTCGCTCATAATGACACCCAGTTGTTTTATCCCTGTGAATCCGTGTTTGTGAATGCTTCAGTTCATTGCTTAAGTGAATGCTTCAGTCAGACACTCACATGCTTTGTTCCTGAATGAATCAGTGTTTTGAATGAATCAACTGAATTAATGATTCAGCGAGTCACTCAAAAAGGCAGCCAGTTGTTTTGTTCCTGTACAAATCTGTTTTTGTAACAAATCAGTTTAGTGAACACTTCAGTCAGTCACTCACCTGCTTTATTCTGTAATGAATCAATGTTTTAAACAAAAATTGGTTAAGTGAATAGTTTGACAATAAATATGTCTTAATGATGGATTTGTTTTTTTTACAAACATGCAGCTTTTGCCTTTACAAGATATTAATTGACCTGCTTTGTTCCATAATGAACTAATGTTTTAAACAAATTGGTTGAGTGAATGATTCAATGACACTAAAAAAAGACAGGTCATATAGTTTTGATTGTGTTTTTGAGCTAATCAGTTGAATGAATGAATCACTGACTCACACAAATATGGTCACTTGTCGCCACCAACTGGTGCAATGATGAAACTCACAGAAAGAATCACTGAAAAGACTCCAAAGTGATACAAAAGTTGCAACTAACTGTTGTATAATTATATTTTGTTGGTTGTTGAAATCGTTATCCCAATTTTAGGTAATAGTAATAGTGAAGCTTGCCTTAACAAGCACTGCTAGCCATTAAATAGTAGAAATAGTGTGCATGTCTACAGAGTTGAAGAAAAGCAACCATTTAATAAGGCATTTTAAGAGTGAAACCGACAACCAGTGACGCGTCTAACAATGGACTAGACATTTATAGGCAATTTTTACAGATAAATCTTGGCATAATGCCTGCAAATAAGTCCAATTTATAAACCTCTCACTACGCCATGATAGGTTGAGAAGAGATTCCAGCGATCCCGTTCAGTCATTTTCAGAAAATCCATCCTTCTGGTTGGTACAAAAAAATACCAGAACAGCTTAGTGGAGGATTAGACTTGCACCTGGTCCCCAATGAATTCTCTAACAGTGTTAAAACTGAAAAAGTGAACTGTGCGGCGAGCCAGAATGAGAGATTTCCATGCAAATTGTTGGCCTCATCTTCCTCCTTCTTAATAATAATCCCAACTCAATCCATCCCTCAGTTCAAAATGTGCCTAAATCTTCATTCTCTCAGTGTATTTTAGTGGTGTTGCATATGCTAAACTGACTCTCTGATTCCAGGTGATCGACATTAAGGAGAAGCTGAAGGAGTCGAAGAAATTCTGGTCGTCGCTGCCAGACAGCATCTGTGTAGAGGACGAAGTGACTGACCCAGATGAGGAGCAGTGCTGGAACAGTCACACAAAGGGAAGGTACGACCGTCACCTTCAGACACAGATTCCCTTGAGTCGCATTGCAGATTGTTGTGTTTCAATGACACCTTCCATGGTAATTGTTTTAGCGATAATAGGTCAGAGGAAAATACAAAACACGCTCTTGGCACAATAGAAGGTTGCTGTCTGCCAAAAAAAATACATATATTGTGTTAACCACCCCAAAAAAAAAAATATATATATATATAAATAAATACATTTGAATTGAATTGAACTTAATTAAATTGAATTGAATATGTGCAAATTTTGTATTATCCACCGGTGGTATAAAATACCACCGGTGTGGTATAAATTAAAATGTTAAATGTTAATTTAATTTAATTTAATTTAATTTAATTAAATTTAATTTGTAATAATTCTAAATCATTTCTGAAAATTTGACTCTGGTTAAAAGTTGAAGTTTGGGGTCAGAATTTAATTTAATTTAATTTAATTTAATTTAATTTAATTTAATTTAATTTAAAATGTTAAATGTTAATTTAATTTAATTTAATTTAATTTAATTTAATTTAATTTAATTTAATTTGTAATAATTCTAAATCATTTCTGAAAATTTGACTGGTTAAAAGTTGAAGTTTGGGGTCAGAATGAAGAAATTAATAATTTTATTCAGCAAGGATGCATTAAATAATACAAACGTGACATTCAAGACATAATGTAATATAATGAAAATTCAGCTTTGCATCAAATTAATAAATTACATTTTTAAATGTACTGGTAATATAATATTAGATTGTTCAATAAGATGTATTTAAATAAATTAAATGCTTATAAACATGTAATTATTCATCATTTTAAACCATCACAGTTACCTTTCTAATTTTATTTTAGGCAGAAACTAGTTGCATAGTGTTTGGATTTATAAAGTTCAATAAATTAAAAATAAATATACTGAAATAAATACATTTTTACTATAATTTTTGAAAATTCAGTTTTGGGGTAAATTACTTTTTTTTTTTTAAATCAAAA